CTGGTGTCCTAGGGTAGCGTTGGGGTTCGGGCAGAAATCACAGGCGGAAGTCGATCGATACCCTGCTGCGCATTTTCTCGAGGGTGGTCAGCATCCGGAGCCCAAGAGTAAACGAGCGCAGCCTCTCCTGACGTCGTCCTTGATGCGCAATATTGCAAGACGAAGGCCACGTCGCCACACTTCTTCAGATCCAAATGCTTCAGGAATGTGCGCCAATATCCGTTTCATCTGCCAGCTGCCAATGGACTCCAGCAGCAATCGCTTGGCCTCCATGGGCGGCGCGCGCAGGAAAGAAATCGTGGAGCCTCTATCACCGACAACTTGGTGTGCGGATAGCATAGCCCAGCCCATTCTAGACAACGAAAGAAAAGTCGCGCTCATGGGCCCGTGGCACTTGGCCCACGTGAGTTTATTTCCAAAATCACGCTTCATAACTAAAAAGGCTCGCTGGAGGTCGGCAACTGAGAATCTATTGTCCCATATCGTGCTGGCAAACCTGACGACGAGCAAGATGGTCGCGTCATATATCGGGTCGTAGAACTCATCCGCCTGAGTGGCCAGCCAAGCTGTGATAGACACGTGTTGGCGCGCTCCAGCAAGCACGGCCGCAATAGACCTGAGTGAATTGAGGGTAGCGTCGGTGATGCCACCCACTCCTGCTCCATGTGCAGCGGCTGGAAGCAATCCTGTTCTCCACAAAGTTCGGGCTTTGTGGTTCGCTCCTCGCACAAGGGCGCGAAGCTTGGGCTTTCTAGCCACCAGTCCAGCAAGTAGTTTCTTTTCGATCACTCGCCTGGCCTTGGGCCCAGACAGATCATGTCCAAGGTTCCGCATGTGAGAATATATCTTCGTCCTGAGACGCTTGTCAAAGGGTGTGATCACTTTCTTGACAGCCGCATTTGTAGCAACACATCCACTCTTAGCCGCTTGAATGACCAATCCCAGTTCAAAGGCACCTTCTGTAAAGTACTTGACGGCTGAGAACAGAACCCTAGATCGTCTGGGATCTTCGCCTGTCCATTGAAAGCTCGCGTCGTCCATGAGCATGCGTGGCACAACTGAGTCAAAGAGGTCCCTCATCCGAAGAAGAAGCCGATGCAGTAACAAGTGCACCGTCGTGGTCGCGTGAGTGCATCCAGCTAGCATGCCTTGGAATGACGCATATTCATAAGAAAGAGACCTCCACGCGCGTACAACTCGGGGGCACTGGTAGTTGGCTAGTATTAGCCAAAGGAGTCGTAGTGGGTAGCCCAGCATGTAAGCAAAGTCGACTAGCTTCTGCAACTTAACCATCTCGAAGCACTTGTACATGCCGATCAGCACCGTTACTGACGTGTCCTTTGTATCGTGCAACTTCTGCTTGCAGGTTATGAGAGAAAGCTGACTCCGATGATGCGGCAGCCGGCCTCGCGCCCCAAAAGTCAGAATTCTGATTAGCACGCTCCCAGCTTCGTGTAACAGGTCTGCGGAGTCGAGCCCAAATGCGCACAATCGTGTTGATTAAAGCCACCAGTCGGTGCCGTCCTGAGGCTTTGGGTATTCTGACAAGGCGTGCCTGTATTTTTTCTGGCCAGCAACATAGTCGCTCGCGCGCCTGCAGGAGACGAAGAAGAGTTTGCAGTCCGTAGTCTGATGCAACATCCATCGCCTTGGGGTGAAGGTTGACCTGTCCAAGTGCTGAGGTAAGCTTGAACTTGCGCAGAACTAGGCGAAGGTCTGCTACACTGACTTCTGGGAGCTGGTGCCACGTCGCGAAGTCAGGTGGCAACTGCAGGCGTCTGGAAGCGTGGGTGGCACAGGACGCATCAGCCATTTCAAAGGGTTGTGGCTGCTGGGTGTGCTCCAGGACCTCCTGCAAGTCTCGGAGCTTCAAGAATATGTGCGCTTGGCGCGCTTCATTGTTGAAGGACGCCTGAGCCCACTCCGTCCATTCTGCCGTTTTGAATGCGCCGATGGCCTGCACTACTCTCTCCACTTTGTCAATGACAAGATGTGCAGTCTCAAGAAAATCGTCGCAGCAGAACTGGTGGGAGAGGTCGCGGACTCGAGCACGTTCATCCTCATCGAGGTGCGGCATAATCGATTTAGCCTTACACGCCCGATGGAAGAAACCCTGGAGGTCCCATGCCAACTTCACAAACAACTTGAGCTCCTTGTCATTAGCTGCAGTGCCCGCAGCCGTACTGAGCCCAGCGTCGTAGGCTCCAAAGGTAGATAAGGACCGTGCCCAGCTTGAATAATTATCAGTCGTGTGGTTGGTCGGCAACATGTGCCGTGGAAACTTACCAGGTACGTCAACATTTGTCTGGAGCCGCTCCACAGCCAAGATCATCCGCAGCTTCATAGCTCTCATGTGCCGAAACCAGCGTCCAATCAGCTTGTAAGCCTGGAGCCTCTGAGATGGCCTGGGTTCAGGTGGAGCCACTTTCTTCCAAGACCAGGTAGCTGGGCCCGCCCTTCCAAGGTAACGTGCTCGGTCCTGGCCCATTATATCGTGCCTGTCCAGTAGCTCCTCTTCGATCTGCGTCAGAACCGCATCCCAGGCGTCGGCGAGGGTGGTGGCATCCTCAGCTGCAGCGATGAGCTCCCTGGCCATGCCCCACTCGACGACGGGCGGGAACCTCGCACACCCTGGCTTTGGTATCGTGTCGACGGCCTCAGGCTGATCAGGCACGTGTACCCACATCTCATGTTCAGCATCCTGGAGCGGAGCTCTGACGGGCAAGTGTGGAAACAAGTCCGAGTCTTCATGCGCAAAAGCTCTTCCTGCCCGACAAGCAACTCGCGGATGCATACACATGTAATCGTACATTGTTCCAGGCTTCGACTGCAGGCAGGTGGGGCAGTTAGGGTGGACGACGATGCCCCCTATGGAGTTGAACCAATGCCGAAGATCATCCACCTGCATGTTCCAGTCTCCCGCTAACAGCCAAGGCTGCTCTCGGGCCTCCAGCTCACAGATGTAGGTGGCGACCTGCCGAAGAATCTCCACGTTGGCGTCAGAGAGGCCCTTGCCGTCGTGAAGGTAGATTGATAGCATGGTGATGCCCTGCTTCATGCCCCAGTGAACGTGGGCCGCAAGGACCCTTCCAGGAACCAACTCGGCTGAAGACCTCCCTGGCGCGAGAGTCACACGGACCCTGGACGGTGCCAGGATGGCCATGCCTCCATGCGTTCCCCCGTTGGCGGCCGGAGGGGCTGGGGCCCAGAGGCCTGCAAAGCCTGCTCGAGCGGCCTGATGTTGGACTTCGGCGAGGCGCTGGTGGTCGGCATGGTGGAATCGCGGCGGACCGGGCCCCGCAGGCAAGGGCCCAGGCGCCGCCTCCCTCGACGGCGGCGGCGACGACGTCCCGTCAAGCCAGGTCAGCGAGAAGCGGCACGCCCTGGCGCCGCAGCTGCTCTACGTCGTGAGGAGAAGGAGGACAACGCAAGGAGCGAACTCTCCCTCGACGACGGCGACGACGCCCCGTCAGCCCAGGGCAGCGCGAAGCGGCCCGCCCCGGCGCCGACATTGCTCTACGTCGTGAGGAGAAGGAGGACGACGCAAGGCGCGAACTCCTCCACGACGAAGACGACGTCCAGTCAGCCCAAGGTAGCGAGAAACGGCCCGCCCCGGCGCCGAAGCTGCTCTGCGTCGTGAGGATAAGGGGGACGGCGAGGATGCTTCGGCGGGACGCAAAGGTGGGACAAACACTCTAGCATGGGGGAAACGGGTCCTGAGGGAAACGGGTCCTGGGCCCCGGGGCCTTCCGCCAAAACCAGACCTTCGTCCCGAGTTGCTTTCCGGCAGGTCCCAGGACCCGCGGAGGGCCCCGAGGGCCCGAAAACGGCGAACAACCTCAGGACCAGTTTCCCTCAGGACCCGTTCCCTCCATGGCGAGAGTTATGATGTTCCAGCCTACTTTAGCCTTGATCACCAAAAACAATCTCGAGCACCAAGAAAATACCGAAACTGGAAAGTTTTCACGTGTCGGGCCCTGGGAGGCGATACTCCTTCGACACTGTTTCGATACTTTCCTGGGTGCCCGAAACTATTTCTGGGATGTGGTCCTGAAGTACGATACGAACAATGCAAGGCGAGAGCTCCGCCCGGCCCAGCAGCCGGCCGGCCCCTTTCGGAGGGCAGGGGTGCGCCGAGGCAATGAGCGGTGCTTCTCGGCTCGGGCCGCGGGGGCGCGCGAGCCAGCGGCGCCCCGCCCGCGCCAGAGGGCGCGCTCGAGCGGGCGGAGCCGCGATCGGGGAGCAGCGGGGCAGAGGTGGGGCTCGAGACAAGCCGCTCCAGACGCCCCCCCCAGACCCCCTCGCGATGTGACAAAAATCGCGACGGGAGGTTTCGGCCCCTGGGGGCCCTTACGGGGCCTCGGGGCCGTCAAAAAACGACTCAGGATGAAAAGTTGGTCCTGGGGAGGGGGTCGAGACCTCTTGGGGTCGACGTTTGGGACAAAAATCATGACGTTGGGGATCTGGGCTTGGAGGAAGGAAACGAGAATGTCCAACTATGCTCGTTGCCTAAGCCTACCCTGGGACCCCCCCCTTTATTTTGGACGCCCGACAAGGGGTACGAGGAAAACGTGTATGATGCCCAGCAACAAATGTTGTTCAAAATCGACAGCGGCCGCCTTTGGGCAGGCGGCCTTCAGTCAAACGGACGACGACCGCGGCGACGCCGACAACGAACCAGAATGAACAAGAACTGCTGTTGGACTTTGTACCCACTCTTTTCGTACCCATGTCGATCGTCCCTATCTGCGAGCCCCCGAAGGATGGGGCGGACCCAGACTCCCGACGTCGTGATCTCTCCGCAACTTCGACTCCCAGAGGTCTCGATCGACCCCTTCCCTGGGACCAGATTTTCATCCCGAGTATTTTTTGAACGGTCCCGAGGCCCGGGAAGGGCCTCCCGGAGGCCGAACAGCGAAACGCCTCCCGTCTCGATTTGTTTCACAACGCGAGGGGGTCTGGGGAGATAGGCCGCTGCGGCTTCCGGCTGCCCTGGTGACCGCGGCCCAGCGGCGCTCGCCCCACATCCGCTCGCGGGCGCTCGGGCCACCGGGCCGCCTGGCGCCCTCCTCATGCTGCTGCTGGCCTCCTCCTCCTCCTCCTTCCTTCTTCCGTCCCTCCTTTCCTCCCGCCACCTACCTCCCTCCCTCCTCCCTCCCGTCCTTACTCCGTGCTCCCTCCTTCCTCCTCCTCTTCCTCCTCCTCCTCCTCCTTCTCCTTCTCCTCCTCCTCCCTCCGCCCTCCTCCCTCCGCCCCCCTCCCTCCCTCCCTCCCTCCCTCCCTCCCTTCCTCCCTCTCTCCACTCGTCCTCCTTTTCTTTCCCTTCGTAGCAGCAGCAGCAGCAGTGGCACCGGGTCGCCTGGCCGCGTCCCGCGCCTGCAGCAACGACGGCGAGGGCGCCTCCCAGGAATTCCGCGAATCCCGCCGTCGTCGTCGTCGCCGTCGTCGTCGTCGTCGTCGTCGTCGCTCGTCCTCGCTCCGTCGCCAGCCTAGCAGCAAAAGGGTGTCGTGTCAGTGAATCTGACCGCAGTCGGGCGGCACAGGAGGAGCCCTAAGGCGCGCCCTGGTGAGGAGGCGACGGCTCGGGGCCAGCCTCGAAGCCCCCAAGCTGCGGAGCAGCGTCTGCCTCGTGCTATGGACAGACGTGCCCTCCGCCGCCCTCCGCGGCTTCCCTCGGCTTCCTCGGGTCCGAGCATGCTTTCGCAGAAGACGGCCGCAGCTGCCTGCTCCGTCATCCCTCCCCTCCTCCTCCTCCTCCTCCTCCTCCTCCTCCTCCTCCTCCTCCTCCTCCTACTCTTCCTCCTCCTCCTCCTCCTCCTCCTCCCTCCTCCCCTCCTCCTCTCCTCCTCCTCCTCCTCCTGCTGCTCCTCCTCCTGTTCCTCCTCCTGCTCCTCCTCCTGGTCCTCCCCTCTCCTAGGTTGTCCCCGTGTGCCGTGGCAGTGCTGCCAAATCGTCGCTGACCGCCCGGAGGGAGAAGTTGCTGCACGGAGCTCGAGGCACGGGCGAGTTCGCAATTTCTTGGGGCTGCCGAAGGGTCGAACCATCCGTATAGTCAGTATACGGACACACGAGCCTCACACAATGCTGTACCACACGGGCTTGAGGATCTGGTTTTGTAGTTGCTGCGGGTTTCATGCCTGTCAGCAGCTGAGGCCTTCGTTGGCCCAAGCTTGTAAACCTGACCTTGCAACCAGTACCAGAAAGTCACACCTGGAACGAATTCAGCAGGAAAGGAGACCCCAGAATCGAATCGATGAGTCG